TTGACACTAAGGCAAGTCTTTACAATTATAGATATCTTGGCCGGATTTGGAATGGGTATAGTCTGACTAGGTACAGTCCGTTATGCATTAAAATATCATAATCCACATTTCCATGTGCTTTTGTTGTTGGACGACTCTGTTGATCATGACTTTGAAATCCAAACTGAGAATTTTCTGACAGCAGAGGACAAGACCGAAAAGACTCATTTCCGTGATTTTTTTTTACTTTCTTGCGGCTGCAGAAAATCTCATTCGCAAAATGGGATTGCGCATCGTCAAATATTCACCAACTTGATCTCTGCTGCGGGTGCCAGTCGCTATTGAATCTGTGCGTGCACCGGTCGAGAAGGCCGCAAAATGGAGGCACATAATCATCAGCCTAAAGATGCAGTTATTTCACCCAACCGAATATTAATATCAGGAAAATGCTGATGATATGTTACTTCACTGTGCTTCGTTCAGGCAACATCTGGGCAGTTTCAGACCTGATAACTTTTGTTCCGACTGACTGGAGAGTCGCTCAGAACGAGATACTTTCTACACATTTGACGCTGAACGCGGGGGAGTGGAAACCGCCGACGTTTGAAATTACCGAGAGTGCTGGGCTTCTTCTGATTATACTATAATAGAGTTCTCGGCGGAAACCCCCATCTTTGTTATCGCGGATGTATCATGCGCGTGTGCGATCGGCGTCGGGCCGCATCGCCACGTGAGTTTTCAATCTCGGTCTCTCGGACGCTTTAATCCTTTTATTGCTTCCTCTGGGACGCGGTTCTTCGCACGGGTCCGAAGCGGCGCTCTGCCTCTAATAGACCGGGCGAGTTCACCGACTGCGGTAGTTTCAGGCTCGGCACACGGCGGATTATTTGTCTCGTGTCGCTGCATTTTAGAGCGGTAGTCCAGACTCTGTTGTGAGTTACCCGACTGATGGCCGATTTTCAGGTGATCGTACCTCGAGGTACCACAGCGACGAGCTCGGCGGTGTCCGGTTACGCGAAGTTGCTCGCGTCCTTTTGAGGTTTTGGCGTTTTGGAAATCGCATGCGCTTCGCCCTTCCTCTTCTTCCACCCACGCCACCATGTCGTCGAATTTGAAGCCTGTCATCTTCCGAATCGTGTAATGCTCTTCCCTCGACAGGTCATTCGCGGTCGCTGATTGGGCTCGGGATCACAGTTCATTCAGTCTGGCCGGAGGCGACATCTTGCAGACGATCCCGCAAACACTGGCGCTTTACCACAAGCAATGGGTCAACCGGTCGCTCAGTATTGCTTGTGTTGCATACGCCACGGCGCGCTACATGACGCTCATTTCGCTCATCACAAACGGGATCGGTGCGAAACTCAGACTGTCAATGGCGACAGCGCGTGAACAAGCTCTGCAGGCTTCTTCAGTACCGACTTCACTCTCCAGACATGCAAGCCGTTCTACATGGTGCCCAATATCACAGCTAGTTCGTGGACGAGCTCTTTTGACGGGAGAAGAGATTTTTACTTGGCTCGCAGTGATTGCAGGGATGGCCGTGCAGATCTTGGTGTTTTTAAGGTGCGTGACCTGGCCTTCTCTTGTGTGCTCCGCTGTATCATCTTCAGAACATACGCCATCTCCGGACGGTCTCCGCTGATCCTCTACGGCCTGGGCGGGCTTCTCTTACTTGGTTTCCCAGTGCGTGTCTGCAATTGTCCTGCGAGCGCTGATTGACTGATGCTGTCATAGGTGCAAATGTTCGGAATAGTCTATCATCGGGTGGTAGGCCCTCGCTGTCTTCTCGTGCTTCCTCGCGCTCACCAGATCGTCTCTCCCTAGCCTGAAGTCACAGGGGTGAGTCTGCCATCTATACGTTCTCCGCCGCTGCTGATCTCGACTTCAAGGGCGAGTGCGTCCGCATGCTTTTAGGAAATCTCGCATTCGGACGCTAACCGTATCTTCAGATGTAAAGGCAAGGTGTTTAATGAGGTGCGCCCCTTGCTCAGCCTGTTGATGATGTCGTAAACTCACTGTCTTCTCCAGACCGACTGGAATATCGTGTTCGTGCACAAAACTCTTCATTATCGTTTTTCTGATCCCCTGCTCTCTACAGATATTACAGCGCGCACATGGTTTACGATGTAATTGCATGTGCAGTCGGAACTTACTACCTGATCGCTTCTTCGCGGATCAGTGGAAGCTTGTGAGTAGCAGTCCCAGGCTTTTTTCGAGCTCTAATTCTCGGCAGCAACATGTCTGCCTTCATCCGTCGCGTGCTAAGGAACGGTCTTCTATACACCATTGCCGTTTTCGTTGCCAACCTGTAAGTTCCCGAATTATTTCCGACCCAGCACTCATCGGCACCCAGATGGGTCGTTCTAGAACTGAGCGCGGTTCTGAGGACCGGTGTTGGTGCGACCCTGCCTCTGGCTGTCGTTCTCATCGGTGCGTCTCTCGCCAGTACAATTTTCCAGATCCCTTGCTAATTTCATCATCGTGTATCAGCCGCGCAGCACCTGATCCTCAGCACCCAACGTGGAACACGAGACATGACCAGCTCCCACGAGTACTCCGGCCCCAGCACCCGCCGCGGTGCCGCCTTGAATGCTCGCGCTCGACGCATGCCAGGCGAGCGCACGCTCGGCGAAGTCGAGATGCAGGCGACCAAAATATACGTGGTCTCCGAGACATACGACGACCGAGAGCCCGCTCCGGCCGATCGCAAGCGCGGACTGCACGAGACGGACTCCTCTGCGTCCGACCGCAGCGAGCGGGCCGGCATCAAAATGGTGGCTCAGTAGATCCACTGCACACACGCTCGTTTTGTTCTCAGCTAGATAGATTGGTTATCGTTTTGCTCTAGTACTACCGGTGTGTACTATTTGTGTTTTTATTTACTGTATGGACCCCTTGTAATTGATGAGATGTCTTCGCAGAGGGTGCTGGACAAGCCTCCTGCGTCAAGTAGAACATTCTGCATAAGTTTTCGGTGCATTGGATGCGAAAGGGCCCCAAGTGACGACCATGGGGACAGAAAAGGCATGGACCATCAATGTAGATGAAATTGGAGATCATGATATCCTTGACGATTTCAAATGAATCGGTCTGCGACGACTAGGACTCTGAGGGCTACCAATGGCTATCCAGTTCTAGACTCGAATTCAGTCCCTATGGTGACAGGTCAAGATGATGATTGTGTGTTTCCCTTTTGGCTAGACAACTGGCTGAATATCTATTGCCAGTGTAATCGATCGACAGATGATCGATTGATTTCTCATCAATGCATCTTTTGTCTTCCCCAGCCCTTGTACTGTTCAGCAGGCAAGGAGAGTATACACAGCGGCGGGATTACTCTCGGAGAGACTGGGATAAGCACATTTCAGGTCCTTTCACATATTCCCTTTGCTTGTTCCATCCATCGAAAGTTTCTGAATACTTTCAAAGATGGCGGATCTTGGGGGGCCGAGTACATCCGTCTTACCCTCTTACTCCACGGCGGACCAAATCAATGAGCATGCCACCTCTGGGGCCGGAGACTTGGAATCATGGATTGCTATAGAACCCCTCGCACGAAGCTCTGGTGCGTCTCTTTCGTCACGATCGTTCGTGTTCTTCCGGCACCGTCTGATTTCCTTCTAGAGCCTCTTTCAATCCCAGTTACGGTGGACCTGGCATCACCTCACAACGGCATCGCTCCACCACCTACGTTTCGACAGTCCCAGTTCGACGTCGTTCTCCGCCGGCAAAGGATGCGTCTTACCCCCACGGGTGCACCGAGACTCAAAACTACCACGTCGCGCTTTCTTAACCTTTCGAGCGACTTCGAATTCGCTGGCTGGGGCTCGTTCTCGCGTGTCAAGCTGTCAGCGGACGACCATGCACAGGGGGAAGATCGCTTAGCGCGCACGAGGAGCGCGAAGGTTCTGGGCCGATGGACGGGCACGGCGCTACCGGGCAATGCAGTACTCGGGAGCGTGTTCTACGCGTTGCCCGCTGTGGTCGCGGTCTGTGGTGTCTAGTGTGTGCATCATCGGCTCCTTGCGGGTCATGGCTGACCAGTCCTCAGTGCACCGATATCCCTGTTCGCGGCAACACTCACGCCGTTCATCTGGCGACCAATCATGGAGGAGCTGGGCTCTGCGCTGCCGATCTGCGGCGCCCCATATGCCTACCTGTAGGTGTCGACCTCCCTTGCGTGAAAATCTTACTGATGTACTCGCCGGCAGCTTGAACGTGACGCCCAAGTCCATTGCTCTGTTGGGCGCGGCTCTGATGCTTCTCGACTTCGCGTCAACATCCGTCGTATCCGCAAGTACGGCTGCTTCTTACGTTGCGGGTGAAGTCGCGCTGCCGTTTCCCGATTTCGTCGGGGCAGCTGTCGTGTTGCTGGTGTTCGCAGTCGTCAGCTTCACCGGTCTGAAGGAGAGCGCGCGGATCTCCTTCGTCGTGCTTGCTTTCCATATGTCCACGATGGCGGTCTTGTCGGTCTGCGCAGTGGTGTGTTGGGGACGACAGGGAAACGAGCAACTGCGGACGAATTGGGTGCACGGGCAGGCGAAAGATGGCTGGACAGTGGCGAGACAGCTGTTCAATGGGTTCTGTTTGGGCATGCTGGGTCTCACAGGAATCGAATGTACGAGTTTCTCCTTGCTCTTCCGATGTGGAGCTTATTGCTCAACAGGCGCACCGTCCTACATCGGACGGATGCGGCCGGGCGCGTATCCAGCTGTGCTGCGCAACCTCCATCTCCCAGCGGTGGTCCTGAATTCAGCTATGATTCTTCTCGTTTTCGCGGTCGTTCCAATGAACACTGTGCTCAGTGGTGCAAACGTGCTCAGTGTGCTGGCAGAGAAGGTCCTCCGGCGCATCCCCTTCTTACCCATCGTCAAATGACTGACAACTCCATAGTCTGCTGGGGTCTGGCTGCGGAAGTGGATCGTCGTCGATGCAATAGTCGTGCTTTGCGGTGGAGTCCTCACAGGCGAGTTCTTTCCGAGCTCTCGTGCGCGTGCGCCAACCTGTTTGCAGGCATTTTGAGTGCATGTGAATTGTTCGAACAGCTCTCGCACGACAGAATCCTTCCTCGAATCTTCCAGAACGCTCTCCCATTCACCGGCGCACCATACGTTTCGATCGTAGTCTTCACGGCGGTGAATGCGGCCTTGTATGCCTCATCGGGCGCCAGCCTTGCCATTGTCTCCAAGATGTATGTGGCTGCATGGTGCTTGTACGCTACTGACTGCTGGCACAGGTTCTCCCTTGTCTGGCTCACCGTGATGGGGCTGTTCCCTCTAGCCTTGTTGCTCCTGAGATTTAGCCGTGGAAGATTGGAGTGTGAACGTAGTGCCAAGCTTTGGATGATCATGCTCGCCTTCGCTGTGACGCTTGTCGTTTTCGCAGGCAACATCGCGATTGATCCTTCGATAGCCGGGTATGTAACTCCGCTCTCTTTGATTCTTCACTGAGATGTCCGTCGAAGCTACTTTGCGGCCTATCTGGTTGGCGTGCTGCTTGCATTTGGAGGCGCGCAGAACCACGTATCGATCCTTCGGGCATTGTATTGGCTGTACGACCAGTATCCATGGTTGCACATGTGGCCGAGGACCCAGGCCTGGGGGCCCTCCGTGGTGCGATGGATCCAAGCACTGAAGAAACAGCCCGTCTGCGTGTTGGTCAAAACGGACGAGATCAATCGGCTGCTGCATCTGTTGCTGTACGTGAGGGAAAACGAGCAGACTTCGTGCGTGAAGCTCGTGCATTTCTGTGACGAAGAGACCGGGGTTCCTTCGGAGCTGGAAGCTAATGCGAAGAGTGAGTGGTGTCGACTGCGCACATGGGAAATGACTGACTTACCGATACAGTTCTCGACGAAGCGTTCCCGGAAATCACCATTGATCTTGTGAGTTTCCCGCCTCGTCCGCATGTGGAAGCCTCATTTCCCTGCAGATTCTTGTTTCTGGCGCTTTCTCTCCATCGAACGTCGGCGCTCTAGCCCATCGCCTGCAGATTCCGACTGCGCTCATGTTCATCAGCTGCCCCGGGCCCAAGTTTCCGTATTCTGTAGCTGATTTTGGCACGCGTATCATTTCTCTGTAGTGATTCCATTCAGCGAGATCAGAAAAGTGTTCGAACAGAGCAATCCACCTTTTATCGAGTGCATATCACGAGGTTGCTGAACTGAGCCGTCCTCAGCGTTTCTCAGCGCATACACAACATGTCGACCTCTCGGCATCGAGTTTTCACGAAGCCACTGAGCCCAATTCGATTGCGGTAGCCCAATCCCTGATTGTTCATGATGCTCTCGTGGTGAAGTCGCACCGACTGGCGGTCAGGAACGCAGGCCGCAAACTTGCGGTGAGGAGCAGGTTGAGACTCAGAGCATCGCACCAATGCCCTCTCGGTTAGGAAGCAGACGCTTTAATTCTGATTTGTCGACGGGCAAGGACGGCGAGTGACACTGCAGCCCTTCGAGCGATGCAGGACAGGAAGAGATGTGACAACACTGTCATCTTCAGTGTCACATCAGACGCGGTCACATGATAGCTTTATTCCCAAATGAGTCTAGCTCGGGCTTACAGCGCTTGCGTGAGATGGATTTCTATTCCTTTGGGTTTGGTTCATCATGCTCCGTCATCCGGAACAATTACTCGCGTGTCTCGATTGTAGTGATTGATCCCTGATATGACATCGAGGTCTGACAGCGCACTCACCGCGAGAAACTGATTTGATTGGAATGAGATAGCCATGAGTGATGCACAAGAAAGAGGATGGCGAAAGGGAGAGGTGGAGGAGGAAGCAGGCGTCTGCTGACCAGTTTTCATCTCGAAGAGGTCGAAGCACCGGCCAGTCTGGTCCCCTAATTCTTACTGTGATGCTTCGTTGACCCACGGAACTCACACGGAACTATAAGGACAGTCGGGGGCCGTTGACTAGCGAGAAAAAAACAATTATTACATGATGCTGCTCGCGGCACTTGGGAAACCCGAGTTCTTGGTACCCGGACTGTGTCATACCGCTCCCGTGAGCAGGCTCGGTACCGCGGCGTTCAAGGCTCTTCCAGGAATGTGAGCGCGAGTTTTGTCCCTCTTCTCGCGCAATATCAGCGCCGGCGATGATATCGGTCAGGAAGCAACTGCTGGCCAGACTCAGGCACTAAATGCGGAGTTGAATTTATCCGGGGCCATCTCTCTCGGAGGTTGGTGTTACGTGTGCACAACATGTTGAAGCTTGTTTGTATTAGCGACTATCACAGTATGTAGACATGACATCATAAGTAGTATTCTTAGATTACTTTGGCTCGCTCCACAATGACCTCATACCTGACCTCATTATTGCGTCATCCATTACTCATCTATGATATCATTACTCCACTATGACATCATGATATCTGCTCCAGACTGGTATATAAACCTAGTACTATACGCTCCATATCCTCAGCTCCTGTGTCTCTACACTCGCTGAGGTATGCATTCTCTCTTACGATCTAATGACCTTACTTATGACTTGTACCATAGACTCTGTCTTCTAGGTACAGCTAATGATATAGCTCCTGTGTCTCTACACTCGCTGAGACTCTGTCTTCTAGGTGATCGCTACTGGTCGTATCTCCACTGCGCGGTATTGTCTGCGACAGGTTATGGGCCCCGCCTGAACCACTAGCCCAGATCAAGAAACATCGAACTACTCCCTTTGCTAAGGCGAGTATCTTTCACTCGTTCAGCCCTTCTAGAGCGCCGTCTTTGTGCGCTCGTCCCACTTGCTGGATGTCGGTCCTCGCATTTGTGCTCTCACCCTCAAGGGGTTACGCGAGCGGCGTCAGGGAGTCATTCAGTTGGCAGACGCGCCGTTAGCTATTCCGTCCATGATTGCTCGCGCGCGTTTTACGTTACATCTTTTTATTGTACAGCGGACATACCCACCAGGCACTGGTCCTTTGGTCAATCCCACTCCTGAACCTTGCGCGAAGCGCCTAGGTGGTGTGGTAGCTCTCAACAGCTGCTGGAGGTCGATCCCTCCGCCAGGCAAAACAATCCTTCGGGGTTGACTCGCATTCCTCACAAGGGACCCTGCGGGCTGGTGACACTACGAGGATTCATGCAATGACGCTCTGCGTGTATGCATGTCTTTAAAAGGGAGAAGATGGGCGGCCAAACCCGGTGCTTGGGACGGCCTTGGGCACGTGTCCCTTGGCCAGTGACGGACTGCGAGGGCAGTAATCACCGTCGGGTACTGCCGCCGCTGACGTATATAGTTACGTTACTTTGATACAAATATGGGCACTTACTATACCGCTTTATTTCGTTATCATTCCCCGCGCGTATATGGGCATCATGGATGGGATGGGGACGCTTGGTCGTTCTCGTTTCAGAGATTTGGCACTCGGGATTTTGTTTCTTGGTCTGCAGAGAATCTGGGGCTGACTTTGTCGCTCTAGTCATCTCTATCACCCTGTCATCACCAGACGACCCTCCCGTTGGGGTTATCTTATTTCCTGTTGTCCGCTGGGCTCAGGGACCTTCTTACATTCCTCTCCAAGACGCCGATTGGAGGGATCTATACGATCTTGGAGAACACGATAACGAAGAGTTCTTCCATCACCAAGAGAATTGGACTCCAGAACTTCGATCTCTATTCGGTGATCCTCCCTATATCGAATTCCCCTCTCTTCACTACCAAACCGCCGACGTTATCGAGTATCTCCCCACCATGTCGGGAATCGAGAAACTCAACAACTCCATTCTGAGTGTCTTCGATGGCACCAATTGGAATACGTGGTCGGACAACTACATGAGCATCTGCATGCATCAGGGCACCTGGGGAGTGGTTAAACCCACTCATATTATGGTTAACGGCACATCTACCTCGAACCCTGGTTCTATGGAGCGTCCTGGAACGGCTGGTGACAGCCAGTATCAATGGGACGTTGCCAATGAAAAGGCACTGGGTCTTGCGCGGGTTTATATCACCCAGAATCTGCGCAAGGGAATCTTTATGGACGGTCAGCGGGAGCGCACTGCGCGTGAGGTTTTTGCGAAGATGGCGACGGATTATGGCCAACCAAATGCCATCGATGCTTTCGTCGAGTACCGCCTCCTGAACACCACCACCTTCCACGGTGGTGATACCATTGAAAAGCAAATCATGGAAATGGAGACTCGTCGTCGCCAGTGTTCGGAAGGAGGAATCGAGATCCCCGACTACCTCTTCGCAACTCTAATGCTCGCCGCCTTGCCCGCTTCCAGCAGAGGTTTTGTCACCTCTTACCTGGCCAATCGTCCTATCGCTTCTCTGAACCCAGTCGATGTCAAGAACAGCGTCATAGGGAATATCAAGATCGAGAACCTCGACACGACGTCGAACTCGAAGATTTCGACCGTTCCGTCCCTTGCCACCCGCTGCACTCATTGCAACAAGTCTGGTCACGTTGCGGCATCCTGCTACAAGAAGTATCCCAACCTCAAGCCGACTGGTCAATCTTCTGACAAAGGCAAGGGGAAGCAGGATGAGGGGAAGAAGAAAAAGAAGAAGGAAAAGAAGAGCGGTGATGGTACTAGCGCTGTAAAAGAAGTTGTAGCCGCTCCCGCGGTTGCAGCTGCCTCCAATGGAATGCACATTTCGTCCTATCTCATGAGTGACTCCCTCAAACACATCGATGATGGAATTTTTGTTGAAGAAATGGGAGACGACTCCAAAATTCGTTTTCTATGGGACTCGGGTTGTACGCATCATATGACAAACACCCGATCTGATCTTCACAACATCAGACCTATCGACACCTATGTAATCGTTGGGTCGGGAGCTCGCTTCAAGAATGAAGCCGTTGGAGATATTGTGTTGCGGGGTCATACTAGTAGTGGCATCGACTACACCTTCACGCTGAAGGATGTCATCTACAACCCGCACATAAGAGGGCGTTACCTTTCTGGGTATGCGCTCGATCAGGCTGGTTACTACACCGTGGTTGGTGACAACAAGGCAATCCTAGTCACCAAGGATTGGCTCAACAAGGGAAAAGCGCATAGGGATGTCTTGATGACCTTTAAAGCAAGCAATCGCTGCTACTGGTACTACCCCGAGGAGCTCGTGGCACCATCTGTGTCTGCATCTCACGAGTCTACCGCGCTCGCTTCCCTGGAAACTACCGATCGTGAATTGTGGCATAAGCGTTTTGGTCATGCGGCTCGGAGGACCCTTACTCACTTGCCGACACAAGTTGAAGGTGTTCCCCCCTTGCGACGCAATAAAGACCAGCGCGGCATGTGCGATGGATGTATGCTTGGAAAACAGCACAAGCATCCGTACCCTGCATCAGAGAAACGTGCTAGCAAACCCCTCGAGCTTATCCACACTGATTTGATGGGCCCCTGGCCTACTCAGTCGTTGGAAGGTTCACGCTACACAATTTCGTTCTACGACGATTTCTCGAGCTTTGGCATGATGGTGTTCATTAAATCAAAGGACCAAGCCTCTACTGCGATTAAAAACTTTGTTGCCCTTACAGAGCGTCAGCTTGGCACAAAAGTACTGGCCTTCCGGTCAGATCGTGGAGGCGAATATATGTCCGATGAACTCACAGCCTGGCTCAATGCACGTGGTATTATGCACCCTAAGTCCGCGCCACGCGAACCACAGCAAAATGGGAGGTCTGAACGTTGGAATCGCACAGCCTACGAGAAAGCGGAATGCATGCGCCTCGATGCCGGCCTATCCAAAGGCTTCTGGCAATGTGCTATGGATGCATCTGTCCACGTTCATAATAGACAACCTATGGCACGATTGGGATGGCGAACACCTGCGGAACTGTGGCTTGGAAAGAAGCCAGACGTCTCTTATTTCCGTGTGTTTGGATGCAAGGCGTCTCTCTATGTGGATGTTGAAAAACGCCCGAAAGGTTTGGAGCATGGACGCCCCGACCACATCTTCGTTGGATACGAACGAGAGACAAAAGCTTGGAAAGTGTGGGATCCGAATCAACGCAAGATACGAGTCTCTTCAAATGTTGAGTTCGATGAGCGAGTATTCCCTGCCAAGTCCAAGCTAGTCACCGGCAATGTGTCCTCTGGACCGGAGCCGTTCACACCATTCGAGGAAA